TTTATCAGTAGAGCCATATTCCTAATTTTTCTTTCAGTAACACTGTACATTTTAAATGGCTTTTTATTTTGATAAATTTGCAGTTGCAATGTACAAAAACATCAGAAAATCTAACAATTGTTGGTTATTTTATTTACCCAAGGTAATTTAAGCTGATACTTAGGAATTTGCTGAGAGATGACTAAACAGATAAATTTATCATTATTTAAGGTTAGAGCAGAGATTTTTCACTAGAGCAAACATCTTCACTATTAGTGATGCATTTATTTTATTTAACAAAGCATGTATCCTGGGTGATTTTCTTCAACATATACTTATTTTTAACAAGATAATATGTATATTCGATTTTTTTCATTTTAAGGACTTTATAGCCTAAAATTATCAAATTAACAGATGAATATTCCTTTTATCTGAACTCTACTTTTAGTAATAGCAGAATAAATAACAGCATTTAAAACCCTTCCAGGATATATGCTGGCTTCAATACACTTCCTATTTAATCACCCCTCTGCTTATGCATTTCTATTTCAATTTACTCAACTAATACTTATTGAATGCTTTCCGTCGTGCTGGGGTAGTGCTCGATTAGGAAGATGCAAAGATTCAGGAATTCCTTCTGGGAGGAAGAGCAGGAATTTGGGGAGGACGTCTCAGGCAGAAGAAGTTGCAGGGCTGGAGCGAGGGTCTGGTGACTGCATGGCCTCTTATTGGAGCACTGGATACATTATCCCACTTTGATGATGATCAGCTGTCTCTCTAAATTGCTTCTTTCAAATAATTTTAAAACGGCAATTGAAAAGCAAGTATGCAAGTAGCATATATTTAAAAATCATTGATTTCCACCACCTCTGCTCCCAACACACACAAACACTTTGGTTTGGAGTCTAAGGCATTTTTTAATAGATGAGAATACTTAAGAATTAGTTTAGTTTATGCATGTCACCTGTATAAAGACTTACTTGGGCATATGGATTTTGGAATCACATATGAAAGAAACACTCAAGGATAGACCAAAAAAAAAAAGCCATAAAGAATATGGATACTACAGAAAACAAAAGGAAGAAGGAAGGGCAAGAACTTCTGAATTTCCCCTTCATTGCTAATCCTTTGTTCAGCTGTAGGGAGAGAGTAAGGGTAGTCAAAATCTGTGGGTCATTGAGTCTCCAAAAACTCTACCTTTCTTATTATTTGCTCAGTCCCTCTGTAGTTTTGCCCTCTTATCCCAACTCCTACCTTAGTCTCGTAATCTCATTCACCTGACCCCCAGTTTTAAAAGGTGCCACATAAATATCAGGAAGTACTACCATTCTGGTTTTCCATTCTCCTTGCAGCCAGCCATTACCTTCCTTGCCCTTACTCTTCTCTCCTTTGGTTCCCTTACCTGTTGTTTCCTGTCTCATTAGCATACCAGCTCCTCTTATTGCTGTTCTCTGACTACTCCTCCCAAAAAAACCCCCACAAAACTTAGTACCCTTCTTTTCCTTTGGAAATGTTAAAGATAGGAAGAGGACTTGCCATCACATTACTTATGCCATTATGGCAGAAGGAATTCTTTGTCCATATACTGATACGTGTGCATGAGTATGTGCCTGCACAACAATTGCGTTTTTCTACATGTTTGTGTTGTGAAGGAGATAGATACTATGTTAATGCAAGGCATAGTGATAGTTACAATAGTCTGTATAACCCCTTCCTGGGACTGCAAAGATCCACACGGTTCTTTTAAGGAAATTGACATGTGAGAAGTTGTTTTCTATGAAAGATGAAATGATGACTTTCCAACGTAGTTGTCTTTGAGAAATATCTGGGATTCTCCATTTTGATTTTAGCAAGGCAACATCTCTGAGTATCTAGTAAGAAATTTTTAACGTATTTGATATTCAATTTCCTGAAACAAATAAAGGAGATACACACACATACACACAAGTATATATAGTCACTCATGTGAACAGTTGTATTTCCTGTAATAAGGAGTCCTGAATGTATTAAGAATTTTGTCCAGAAATGAATGTTTTGTGTGCTTTAAAGTGTTTCACAGTCCTCCTTGGTTGCCATCCAAGTCCTTTTACTGATTGGTAGAACATGAACAGAGCACACAAGTTGGCATGATCTACAGTCTTGTCCAAGTAACACGAATAATGTGGATAGCCCGGATTAGTCTGAAGAGGCATTCTCAGGACTGAAGAGATCCCAGTGTCCACACAAACTGTGGTTAATGCTATTAGTCTTTAGTTGTAGCTGCCACAGGATTAACCAAAACTTGCAGGAAAAAGGTAGGTCAGTTCTTATGGTATATCAGGTGAAGCTGGAGAGAGAGGTCACGTACGCTAAATTCATACGGAAGGTGGTGGGACGGGAGGCAAACTGTAGCAGTCACTGAGTTAAACTTTCCCGTAAAATTGTTTAGAAACATTTACATCAAGAAAAAATTAGACTCTTAGCTGTCTATTTCACTTTTCTCCTCTACTATGACTGGCTTAATTTTACTTACCTTTTTCTCCCTGATCATTCTTAAATACCTTCTGGAATTAAAATTGGGGGAATAGTCTTCCTGCACACTTTTGTATTTTTGGTGTTTCTCTCCCACTTCTATCTTTGAGTGTGTATTTAATTGGAGGAGCAAATAGCTCTCTGTAGTTCTTGTTTCTTCACTTCATGTCATAGAAACACGTGTCTTAGGGAATGGTTTCATCGAGAAGGAGGGCAGTAGGGATTCCAGAGCAGGAAGCCGGGACTGGGAGATGGAGACCTGGTTTCTAGTTACACTTCTGCTGCCAGCCAGCAGCGGGACTTTCGGCACGGTCACTTCTCTGGGCTTTGGTTTTTTTACTCTATACACTGAGGGTACTGAGCAAGATGATTTGTAAGAGTTCTACAAGTTATAAAAATCTTCTCTTTCTACATTGGGAGCCAGGGAATTCTGTTTTATAAGGTTTGACCAAAGAATGTCTCTTTTTGTGGCCTGGGCCAAGTCCCAGCATTGTCCTTTATTTATTACATCTCTTAAATATGCATTTCACAGGTATTTTTAAGCGATTAATGTTCATAAAATGCTTTGAAGAGCTTTTGTGTATGTTGTCTTTCTATCCTGTTTTATGCAGTTGTCCATAATAGAAACCAAGTGTTGTGTAAATGAAATCAGTGTTTCCTATGATGTGAATGAGGGTTTTTGACATTTCCCAGTCTAAATATTAAAGTAGTGGGACACTGAGCTGCATAAAATTATATTTAAAATAATGTTTAATCATTTTCTTCCTTTCACTCAGTAGGTGAGAACATTTTTAGTTCCCGAATGTAATGGTAATTACACTCTGTAGTTGCACTGAAGTTGCCGTCAGGGTAGTAAAATCTGATTAATTTGGACTCTGCTAATGTGTAATTGGGGTGATTTTACCTGGCTGAAGTTTATTTCTAAACGATGTATGAGGAATGGTGTTGTTAAGCAAATTAATATTGTAAAGTATATTTCATGGACTATATTTCTACTTAAAGGAATTACTTTTAAACCCTTTGGCGTATTAGTTGTTTGCTCGCAAGAGATAATTACAAATGACTCCTAGCAATTTATTAAAGCAAAAGAACAAAATATAAATAAATGTCCATCATCAGATATAATGCTTTTAGGGTTTTTGGGTCTTTAAGAGTGCTGGGGGTGGGGTGGGGGAAAGCAGTCTTATTTTCTTTTCACTTTGAATAAATATTACAATTTTTGGAGCGCCACAAAAACAGGCTGTAAACATTAAGTCTAAGAAAAATCTAGACTGAAAATTGACATAGATGATTTGGTGGTATTAGTTGATTTCTTTGGAGCCTAATGAGATAAGACAAATAATATGTTGGGTTTTTATTCAGTTGATTGTTCATAGAAGAATAATAACTTGAGAACCTTTGCAATAAAGTGATCTTCACCTGTTTGTGGGGCTTACCCTCTTGGAAATTTGGAAAACTCTACATTCGTCCTATGTCCCATTCATAAATGTTGGGTAGTCTTTATAGATAAACTGCTTGAAACACTTCACCACCATGTTTTTACATAGGTTTGGGGGTCTTTGTTCTCAGAATGAGAAGTTAATTTGTAATTACTGCTTTGTAATATTTTCATAAGCTGCAAAGTGGTTGAATTTCCTTTCTAAAACATCATCTCCTTCTACATATACCTAATTTGTAGCCGTTTATGTTTCATATTTTTAAATATTTGGGAATACTTCACATTTTTGGAATGAAACATTCCAAACTTGCTTGTTGAGTGTGTGTCTGTGTGTATTTTTCCTTCTTGGGGTTTCCAACAAGTTGCCACTGCTGATTGTACCTGGGACCTTTTTGCTCTATAACTATTAAGAATTATTACTCAAAGCCTTCTAATGTAAAATAATTGACTATGGTTTATTTGTATTAGTGTGCTTCTTTCTTTAACCTTTTAAATATATTTTGGCCACTAAGGTATTGATAAATACTCCTTTCTCCAATTTCTTTGAAGATTTTTATGAGACAGTTTTGTGTGTAGCTACTAAAAAGAGTTAGAAATATAATTTAACCCTTTAAGTTGCTTGACTGTGTTTTGGGGCAGTATTTGTGTATGATAGATTGAATAAAAATTATTTGTGAGGTAGTGATGGCTGACATCTATTTAGCATTTAATAAAGTTTATGCATTACTGGTCAATGTTTCAAAATAAGCTTTCTCTCTCCGTATATGTATGTTTGTGTGTATGTATATACCGTATATACATATGTGTTTGGGTTTCAGAGGGAAAGACTTTTTGCCTGAATATTGATGTGTATCTTAAAGGAAGGTACTCATGATTACCTTAACTGATTTCGCAGTGTATTTCTAGTACATTAGCTTATATATTTTGGAATTTTTGAAAGTAGTTTCTTTCTATAGAAACATTTACCTATGCTTTTTGAATACAAATGAGAACGACTCTTAAGGGACTAAATCTCAATCTTTTTAAAACTAGGAATAATTCAGAAAGAGTATATAAAAGTCAACTACTTAAGTTGGAAGCACAAGTTTATTGTTTGGATAAAAACTTGAAAGTCAATGTGAGCTCTTGGTCATTGCAGTGAGGTTTGAAAAAAGTAGTGGCTTTCATGTCAATGGCGGTCTGCCTTTCCTAAGCTTGCATTGACAGAGATGGACAATTCTGTTTTTAGGTAGAAGTGGAAGGGTACTATGAAGGTAGATATTTGGTGATGATGGCTTGCCTGCATCAGAAGTAAAATTCTTCAGCCTGTAAATAAAGAGTTCAGCATGATTCCGGTTTTATCCTATTTTTACCTCTTAGAATTGTGTAGAAAATTTGTGAGTTTGGCGCTTTAAATAGAAACTTAAAATACCCAGTCACTTTCTGGGCACTTACGATGCTATTTTCTGGCAGTATTTTAAAACAATATAGATGAAACCTCTATTTGCTGTTGCTTTCATGAAATACCTCAAGCTGCCTTTGACAGCGGCTTTAATTTTTGAGCCTCCTTGTCAGTCACTAACCCCTGGAGGTTACCGGAGCCGCTGCTCAGCTTTGGAATGGTCCCTGCTGGACACCTGCTTGGCCAGCAGCATTGGTCTCTCCTCTAGGCAATTTGTGAGCTGTTTGGGGGCGGGGGAGCAGGGAGGGGGGAACGGGAGGGGAAAGGGGGAGAGAAGAAGGGGAGGGCAGCATTGAATTAGATTGTTGATAGCGTCCCTCCGAGGGCTGCTATTAAGAGCACGCCACTCTGTACTTCTCTGCTGCAGAAGACAGAGTGATATTCGTGTTACCACAGCGTGTTGTAAATGTATGAGATTTTGCTCATCCCAGCTTGGAAATAAGAATAGGGAAAGGAGAGCAACTTGAATCAGAAGCTGCTAGAAGAGCGTGCAGAGTTTTGCAGCAGTTTATATTTGTTCTTACATTTTGCCTTCTTCTAACTGGAAACCAGAGAGACTGGCATTTTTTAAACGGGCTTTTCCCATAATGGCATTCTTGTATTGTGTGGCCAGAGCTTGCACAGAAGGAAAACAGGCTGCCGAATTTAGTCACTGATCTCTATTAGCTGTGGCCTAAGGCTATGCTGAGGTTTATATCCCATTTGTATTGTTGCAGCTCAAAAGAAGAATGTTCAGAGGATGACAAGTGTATTCTGAGTAGGTATGTTGTTTCATTTTCATATGAAACCCATCTAATTTTTTTTCTGCTACTGTTGGTCAGAAATCAGGTTAATAGGTTCAGAATATAGTACAGTGCTGCAGTATCCCTGTTAAGGGAGAACAATGGTAATGCAAGCTTAAAACAATACCAAAAAAGCCAAAACCCTAGCCGCTTTTATTAAATAAAGCTGCATTGTGTGGTATGTATGCACAGTGCAGTCTTAAAAAAAATATACTGCAGTCAACGCTTTCCTAACGAGGTGGCACTATTGTTAGAACGATAGAATCATCATATTGCTTTAGGGGACAGGAGGATTTAAAGGAGGTACCTTGCAGCCCTATTTTACAGATTGGAAGCATCGGTTTCAGGGCACTGGCAGAATCGTTTGCTTGTTCTCCGCGGCAGCCACTGCTGTGTCAGTACAGTGTGGAATGGAAATCCTAGTTGGTAGTCTGTTATGGAAACGCTGTTTACTGTTATTGTAGTACCGTGGTGACAACATGCCATTGAAATGGAAAACGAGCTCTCCTGCTATCTGGAAATTCCCAGTTCCTGTGCTTAAAACATCCAGGTCAACTCCACTTTCTCCAGCATACATGTAAGTGAGAGAAAATAGGATATTAAAGTGGGATTTTCATTCATGAATCAACCTTGTGGCAAAAGGGGGAAAAAAAACTCCAAACAGCAACATCTAAAACCCCACAAGATTAAAAACCTCAAGCTTGCTTACATTTAAAGATATTGGCATGCCCACATTTTCGCATTGTTTTGTTTTCCTAGGAGTTTATGTTTATTTTCATTTAAAGTGTTTACTGGTAATCTGATTGCTAATATGAAAATCTAAAGGTATGCCTAAGGAATTGCATAAGGATAAACTTTAATCTTTTACGTTGGTTGGATTTTTTTGAACATTTGTGTATCTGAAATACTTAAGATGACTTCTTTTGTGTAACGGCACAAAAACTGCTGATGATTGATATTGTTGTTTTGTTAAATGTGGAAATGCTTTCTGTAATCTTTTGATTAATTTGAAACATTCAGAGTTAACACATTGATCAGAAAATGTCTTTCAATCAAGACTTTTATACTTGAGTTGTATGTGAATATTAATAAGTTTGATGGTATATCTTTCCCAGTTATAATTCAAGTTCTGAAGTGTAAGTTCGAATTTGTGCAAATTATAGTTCCGTGAATGGTTATTTATAAACATGGAGTTGAAAAGTGTATTATACAAATATCTATTTTAGAAATTTATATTAAGTATATACTGAAATATATTGGGAAGTCATCCTAGAATTTTTGTAAACCTTATTTTTTAAATTTGCGAAGTGTTGCTTTAAAAACAAAATCCAGGAGCTATAATAAAATGTTCTTTTAAAGTATTGTCTGTGATCCTTTTTTTGGTGGAAGAAGGAGTAAGGGAAAGCTTGATTTTTTTTTTTTTAATATTCGTATGAGAAAAGCTTTTGAGTAAAAGTCTGTCTTAACTGTGAGTGTTCCCTTTAAAATATTTTTCAGTATGAAAAATGTGGAAAGTCTTCCTGCTTTACATTAATTGTGTGTTTAGAAATCTGGTGAGTTGACATTTTATTGCTGGGTTTGTGTTTATATGAGGTTCAGGTGCACAATGGTAGCTCTCTGGTTCTTTGAAAGGCTTTCAGCTGCTAAGGAAATATGCTTGTGTTCTCAGTCCAAAAGAAGCAATTCCCTGGAAAGCGCTGAAAAATCAGGACATTTCAGAGTTAAATCCTGTCATCATTTCATGTTCAGATTATTTTTTATGTCCTTCTTAGAGATGCTTTGGGTTATTTTACATGTTTGAGTGTTGAGTGCTTTTCCTATAAAGTTAAAAATTTGAGTTATGTTTGTAAAAAAGAAAAAAGAAGGTCAACTATATTTGTTTCTCAAAAGGTGTATTTGTCAAAAGCGCAAATTAATGGAGTGACAAGGGAGGTGACAAGCTAATGGAGCCCCTGCAAATAATTTGAGAAAATGAGATGAGCCTGTTGATTTTATGAATCTTAGCTGGTGAGAAATGACCATGATTTACCAAAAGCAGCTTTATGGTCAAAACAAAACATACATACCCAAAACTAAAATCAGCGGGCTACAATTAATAATTGTTGCTAATGATTCTAGTATTCCTGCTAGAGTTTACTGTCCACAAGATCCACATTGCAGCTCCTACTGCAGCTGGTTTGACAATTTTTAGAGCTGGTTAAAAAGAATACTTATATTTTATTAATTCATATTAGCCACAAGCTCAGACACAGCTTAATACAACATCTTTAATGAATCACTTTCTTCCTTTTAAGTACTCACCTCTTTGACCTGATGATAAGGATGAATTGATTTAGATAGTAGAAGCTAGAAAATATCACAGGTCTTGTGTGTTGATGTTGATTGTTGGTTGTAAACATAGGTAGAATGGAAAAATATATTGGAAGAGCCAGGGTTAGGCTAAACTATTTTGACATTGGGACAGTCTACATTAGTAAATTCGCCTTAACCTATTTTTCTTTATAAACAAATTAATACAGGGTTAAAATATTATGTAAATATACACACAGAAAATATGTTAAATATAGGAAAGGGCTAGCTTGGGAAGGCTAAATCAGGTTTTTAAATAAATTTTTTAGTTTTTGACTGTTTTAGATAGAGTTCAGTGCCTTACGTGGCCAGAAATAAAAATATCGTGTTTAACATGTTGTTCTCATCAGTGCTTTTTATATTCCAAAACGCTTCTACACATAAAATGATACCTAAGTTTAGCATAATTTTCGCTCTCAAAAACTGTAACAACTAATTTAGAATACTGGGTCAAGTGGCATTTATTTGCTCTCACAGAGTTTGGCTGACAAGCATGGGTTAAATGGTTGTGTCTTTTGGGTCTCAAGTCTTTGCATTGAAATGGAATAATTAAATTCTGACTCTGATAAGTTGTGATATTTTAGGATTTACCTCTAAAATTATGTGTAAACATTTAAAATATTATCTTGAATATAGATTTCTTCACAGTTAATATAATCATTTTTTGTACATTTGCTTGTGTAGCATCAGTGTTGGTTTGTAATGTTTTATCCTTATTTGCTGTGATTTGTCAAAGACATTATGTGGTTTTCATTGAAGACTTAAGACTGAAATTTCAATATAAGATATTTTTAGTTGTAGTAAAAATGTGTTGTAGTAATTGAGCAAGTATGGAAAACATATAAAGGCTCCTTGGGGTCTCTTTCTAAACTCGGTGGAGGTGCTGCTCAGCTGGAGCTCTTGGTTGATGCTGTCGATAGGGCAGTGCTGCCACGCCAGAGAACGTACAATAGAGAACGTTTCACTTACTGCAAACATTGAACAGAAAGGCTGGTTTTTTTCCTTGTAGATTTAAAGTCCAAGTTTGCTTTCCTTCTGCTTGTTCCGAACTTGGATGAGAGTTGAAACCTCTCCGTATTTTCAAGACTTATTGATGAGAAAGACAAGGTTTATGATGATATTAAGGAAAATAGTTTCTTATATAACATAAAGTGCTTTTCAAATTGTTTTACCATTCGGGAAGAGTGGAGTATCTTCAAGACAAAAGATTGAGGAAAATAATCCTTGGCCTCTAGATAGCTTGATTACCAAATACTTAGTCTTTCTTGGGTAGATAGAGACTTCCTTCAGCTTCAGTTTTGAACACTTGCAGGGTGGTGTGCCATCCATGTGGAGTTCTGAAGGGACTGTCTTGCTAGAAATCTGAGTGATGTATTTGTTTCTCTCTGTGCAACGGTAGGGTGAAGTTCAACCTTAGCCTGAGGGAGGATGTCCTGGTCACTGTAAACTGAATTAGTAAAGACTCTGCTCCTGACAGGTGTGAACCATATAAATTAACCTGTCATTTTGCCTAAATTAATAAAGCTGAAAGGGCAGTCACATCTAAGTGGTTTTCTGGTGTTTTGGTATTCATTGTTTTAAAACAGCAAATAGTTCCTTCAGGCTAATGTTATAGGGTTAATGTATGAGATTCAAAGGACCCGCTGAAATAGAACAGTATTAGCATTAGCGATCCTTTTATCTTTTCTTCACAAGCAGCAAGTTTTGATAATAACGGTGTGGCAATAAGGAGGAAAACAATAGGTAAGAATTAATCAGTGCTTTGTGACGGTGAATCCTAGCAAGACAGACACTGGAGATGTTTTCCTTCGAATTTTACCTTTCTAGAGCTAAAAAACAATGGATGTAGAATGAGTGTTAGTGAATTAGACTTGTCCTTTTTTAGCCAATGCACTTGTGTTCAGTTAGCTTCCTATTTACAGTGATTTTGTTTAATATGTAAAATATATTTTATATTAAATATCAATAGCACAGTATTTTATAGCAATTGTTTTCTATCATTTCATCATTAAAATTCACTGTCTAGATTTCCTGAGAAAACATTGTGCATGCTATGTAAATATTCCTTTTTCTGGGTGATTCAAAGGATAGACAAAATAAAAATATGCATTTCCTAAATTTGACGTTTTCTATCCCCTAAGATTGTCTTTTTTCTGATTTACTGAATAAAACAAAACCTTGTGGTTTTAGAAATATTTTTTATTTAGCAAAATACTTTTTAAATTGATAATCTCAAATTAGAAAGAATATATTTAGTTACTTCCACAATTACCATATACATAAACTTTTGTTTGTGTCTGCTTAATTTGTTTTTACTACATATGCTCAGTCTAATGAAGTTATGTGGAGAAATAGCATAAGTAACACCTAAAAGCAATTTGGTGTTAGTTTGTAACTTTCTTGGCATGTTCCTTGGGAATTTCCATTGTCTGAGCTTGCAGAAGGGCTGGCTTAACACTTATTAATGAAAAACCATAGAGATAAAAGAGACCTGAGAGGTCATTTAGGGAATCCAAACTCCCTTTAAAGCAGGAATCCTTCTTGTAACACCTCTGAAAAATGGTGATATACGTCCTCCTTGATCACTGTCAGTGACAAAGAGCTCACTACCTCACCAAGGCAGCACCTTTCATTCGTGGACAGCTCTTCCTTACGTTAACCAAAATCAATTCCTCATACCTTTTATCTCCTGTTCCTAGTGTGGCCTTGTGGAGCTATATAGAAAATCATCTGTTTTCTGTATTACGTACAAGCCTGGAAATCTTCTGTTTTTTTAACCATTACTCGTGTGACATGTTTTCCAGACCTTTCACTCTGCTGGTTGTCCTCATTCGGATAGTTTTTTCATGTTAATCTTTATACGAGATACTACATCTGAATACAATGCTCCCTATGTGGTCCGACTAGAAGAAGACACCTCTCTCCTTTTGTACAGATATTCTGCTTGTCTTAAAGAGCCTGGGATTGTATTATTTTTGAATTATAGGGTTCACACTGGACTGTGGTGAATTTAGAGTTTACAAACCCTTTGCAGAGGTTTCCGATTGGACTGCTTGCTCCTCCTAGTCAGTGTTCAGTCTTTTAGCTACTTGAGATCTTTTCGTCTGAGGAAGCCTGGCATGTGCAAGTGAAGTT